CATTGCAAAGCCCCTTGAACTGTTTCAGGAGCCAACAGAAACCAGGCTCTCAGCCCAGGCTGCAAGGATTGCCTGCATCCATTGATGAGAACTTACATGGCTCAAAGGTTTAAAAACACTGGTCAAAAATAGTTCTCAAGCATCAAGGTCCCTGCCTAAATGTTTCATGGGCTCTCAGATGGGAGTTTACTTAGGGTATGAAGTTTGCAGGGTCACTGTCAAGGGGCTGGGCCTCTATATCAGACAGCTTTATCACAGGCAGCTTTTATAACATGTCAGAGATGTTTCTAACAAACACTAAAATTTAGTTTCTTTATAGTTGTTAAAAAGTTTCCAAACTTGCCCTCAAGAATCATACCATTATATCCTCTATAAACACCAATTACATAGAATCAGATGTGCAGAAAACAACTCAAAATAGCTGGATTCACCCTAGAAACATTTTCACAGATCTGCTCAAAGTTAGACTTCACTATACTTTCCTTATCATATGTGGAAAGTTAATGTCAACACTACTAAATGTTTTAAAGTGTCATAATTTTAAAATAGTTCCCAAGAGTGTGACCTCCTACTCAGTAAAGTTAATTAAGACCAAAGCATATTTGCATTTGAAATCTTTGGCTTGCAACATACACCCAACCCTTCGAATCAGTAGTAGTGTCCCTTTAAAAAATAAGGACTGTTTTTAGTCAGGTTTCTAAAAACAGCCCTGAATACCAAACAAAATATCTCAAGTGAAAATGTACTTTTCCTCATTAGTAACAAAGCCTTTCTAAACAGTTAAGGCTAAGAATGAAAATCAATTACCAAATTGGATCAATCAGAGTTGTTTAAACATCAATCAGGAAGAATATTCATAAAACAGCCTAAGACAATTTGAATTACAAGTGTCAGTCCATGACAGCACCCTAGAAGTACTTATTGTCTACAAGGAAAATTTAAATACATTTATCCAAGCACTGAGAGCAAATAAAACCTTCCTTAAAGTGAATAGTCCTGTCCTGGCAGGTGGCTTAATTGGCTGGAGCATCATTCTGTACACCAAAAGGTTGCGGGTTCAGCCTGGCTGGTATTGCTCAGAGGTTGAGTGTTGACCTATGAACCAGGAGGTCACGGTTTGATTCCTGGTCACGGCATATGCTCGAATGGTGGGCTCAATCCCCAGTGTGCAGGAGGCAGCCAATCAGTGATTCTCTCTCATCATTGATGTTTCTGTCTCTCAGAAACTCTCCCTTCTTCTCTGAAATCAATAAACGAAAAATATTCTTAAAAAGTTGCGGGTTCAATTCCTGGTCAGGGCACATACTTAGGTTTGGGTTTTATGCCCAGTCGGGGTGCACATGGGAGGCAATCTATCAATTGTAGTCAACAGTGAAGACTTAAAAATCTTCCCACAACAATTACGTACTCAAATCAGTTTAAAATGAAGGTCACAGTCAGTCATTAGGCATTGGAGTTAAAGATAAGTACCCTTTTTCTTTGCTAAAGTTATCAGTAACTTTATCATGTAACTTGCCCTCTAAGTAGTCACAGTACCACCCTATCAAGAAAGCTTAGCAACCATGAATAATGAGTCTCTCTTGCTTCACTTCAAACATTAATACTAAGCTTAAGTGTGTCACATCCTCAAGATTCAGCACCAGCTTCTCTTTAAATAGAAGCAGTATTATAACATATTGCCATGTAAAAGAAAGAAAAAAGGCTGCAAAATATGTGGTCCCATTAAATTAAAACAAAAAGAGTGTATGAGTCTGCATGTGTATGATGTATATACTCATACATGCAGAAGTTGTTGTTTTTTTAAAGTAGGATATATAGCAAAAGCATAATATGCAAATCAAACAATTGGCAGGGGGCAGGGCTGGTGAGGAGGCAGCACCAGCCAGGCCAGCCAAGGCACATACCAGTGGGCAGAGAGAGGGTACGGTGATTGGAGGGGAGAGGGGGGGTGCAGCAGCAACCAGCAGCAGTGAAGGGGCAATGGGGGGGGGACGGGGCCATGCCAGCCGGTGCCGACCCCTGAGGTGCTGGCCCCCGATCTGCCCGATCTGCCCGCCTGGTTGCCTACAGAGGTAGGCCTGCGGCAGTGCCTTTTCCTGATTGCCAGGTTGGTGATGGGGCCTGCCCCCGTCATCTCCCACAGAAGGAAGCTACCAGTGGTGGGGCAGCAGCAGGGTGATGGGGGCAGCGCTGTCTTGGCTGCCTGGTCACTTCCTGCAGAGAGCGGCCAGACTGCGGCTTAAGCCATCAGTAGGATATCACCTGAGGGCTCTGGACTGTGAGAGGGTGCAGGCCAGACTGAGGGTTCGCCCCTCCTCCAAGTACACAAATTTCCATGTACTGGGCCTCTAGTTAACTATAATCCCTCCCAATAGATTGATAAAGAATAAATTGTTGCTCTGGCTGTTGTGGCTCAGTTAGTTGGTTGAGCACGCATGAAAAGGTTTGTTGTTTCGATTCCTAATCAGGGCACATGCATGGATTGTGGGCTCACTCCTCAGTGGATGTTTTGTTTTCACATCAATTTTTCTCCTCTTCCTCTCTAAAAAAAAAAAAAATCAATAAAAATCTTTAAAGCCCTAACCAGTTTGGCTCAGTGGATAGAGTGTCGGCCTGCGAACTGAAGGGTCCCAAGTTCGATTCAGTCAAGGGCATGCACCTTGGTTGTGGGCACATCCCCAGTAGGGGTGTGCAGGAATCAGCTGATCGATGTTTCTCTCTTATTGATGTTTCTAACTCTATCCCTCTCCCTTCCTTTCTGTAAAAAATCAATAAAATATAGTTTAAAAAATATTTTAAAAATAAATAAATTTTTATTTGGTTTTCCTGTGTTTTTTATTTTTTAAAAAATATATTTTATTGATTTTGTACAGAGAGGAAGGGAGAGAGATAGTGTTAGAAACATCGATGAGAGAGAGAGTCATCGATCAGCTGCCTCTTGCACACCCCCTACTGGGGATATGTCTACAACCAAGGTACATGCCCTTGACTGGAATCGAATCTGGGACCTTTCAGTCCCCAAGCCGACGCTCTATCCATTGAGCCAAACCGGTTTTGGCTTCCTGTGTTTTTTAAACATTGACCATGCATTTTTTGAATAAGATAAAACATTCATGAAATTTAAAAAAAACCAACAGTTACTTTAGACCCCCAGTGTTCTTCCCCTTGTTTTGTTTGTTTTGCAATAAAGAGATATCATGGTGCCATTTTTTTTGAGCATTCTTATTTAAATGGAGTTGAGGAAAACCTATTAGAGAAATTAAACAAGTTCTGAACTATCAAAAAACTAAATTTTAAAAAACACTGAAAACATCAATTATTGGCAAGGATGAGAAGATAGAGAAACTGGAACTCTTGTGCATTATTGGTAGGAATCTAAAATGGTATAGCTATTATTGAACATAGTACAGTGGTTACTCAAAAAATTAAAAAGAGAATTACAATATGATTCTGCAATCCCACTTCTGAGTATATATTTTTTAAGAAAATGGAAACAGGGTCCTGAAAAGGCAGTTGTATAACCATGTTCATGACAGCATAATTCACCATAGCTAAAACATGGAAGCAACTCAAGTGTCCTTTTATGGATGAATGGATAAGCAAAATGTGGTATATATACAAACATTTGAATATTATTCAGTCTTAAAAAGGAATAAAATTCTGCAATATACTACAACATGGATGAATCTTGAGGACATTATGCTAAGTGAAATAAGCCAGTCATAAAATAACAAAGACTGTATGATTCCACTTACTAGAGGAACTCAGAATATTTAAAAACACACACACAAAAACAGAAAGTAGAACTGGTTGCTAAGGACTGGGGGGAGAAAAGAATGAGGAGTTACTTAAGCAGGAATAAAATTTCCCTTTTACAAAATAAAAAAGAGTTATGAGGATAGTTGGTGGTTATGGTTGTATACTGTGAATGTATTTAATATCACTGAACTGTACACTTGAAAATAGTTAAGATGGCAAATTTTATGCTATTAGTATTTTACCACAATTTTTAAAAACCAAATATATATATAAAATATTTGTATGTGGCCAAGACCGGTTTGGCTCAATGGATAAAGCGTCAGCTTGGGGACTGAAGGGTCCCGGGTTCGATTCCGGTCAAGGGCATGTACCTTGGTTGCGGGCATATCTCCAGTAGGGGGTGTGCAAGAGGCAGCTGATCGATGACTCTCTCTCATCGATGTTTCTAACTCTGTCTCTCTCCCTTCCTCTCTGTACAAAATCAATAAAATATATTTAAAAAATATATATGTATGTGCCTATGACTTAAGAAATATATGAGCAATAACTGTACTTCTATATCATATATATTACATAATATATGATATATTATATAGGTATTTTAAACATGCATAATAGCCAGAAAATTTTAATTATGCACAAATAAATATAAATAGAAGTTCTAATATTTTCTTCCTGAACCCTAACGACATCCCTCGGGAGGCCCAGATCCTGAGATCTGACTCGCACTAAAAGGTAATATCTCTTTCTCCAGCTTATGTCCTGCTGTGCAAGGAGGAAAGAGAAGAGCCAGCAGCGGCCAACCACTGACATTAATCTGCAGTCTCTTCCTCCTTTTCCTTCTCTTGCATTAGGAAGTATTTGACCCTTCTCCAGGGTCTCAAGATCCTGTCAATTAATTCTAACAAAGTCAGTTATAAAAAATCCTAAACAAGTAGCAAAATCCCTGGAAAGTTTAGGGAGAGAATGACACAGGAACTGGATGCAAATGCTACTTTCTAGGGCCATGGAGATCCTTGAAAAACTATTTGGTGAATCAGTAAACCCTGAACTAGAATGAAGTTTATTTGATAAATCTCTTGGGTATCTAGAGAACGAATAGATGCCAAAGTCTTAAAAACACTGCTTATGTAAAAACCGGTGACCATGAACTCAATAGACTAAAAAAATTCAGTTGAGTCTAAAGGCTCTTTGTGAGCTAACTCATGCACTAGCCAGCTGCTGTGGAAAGGCTTGCTTACCTTCAGTATTTCTGGTTCTTTGATATCCAGAGTTCCTGTGTTCCAGTGTTGTTTATTTTTATGTAGTCTGTGATATTTATGAGCACTTGGTGGTGTAAAAAACCAAATCATGCAAACTGCAGTCATGAATCCCAGGCCAATTCCCAGAAAGAGGCCACTCACATAATGGGGGAGGGGGAGGATGAGGTACGCATAGACACACAGTATGAAGAAGCCCAGTGTCTTCATGGGTAACTCTGGGTGCTGCATGGCCAAGTCCACCTCCTCGTCACTGTCAAGAGTTGGAACATCATCTGCCAGCTCCTCTGGCTTGAGAGATGTATCTAGGAGCTTATCAACTTTACCCTCCCCGTCCATTTCCAAATCAAACTCTTCAGAGTACAGTTCACAAAACTCTTCGTCTTCTTTGCTCACTAAGGCAGACAGAGAACATTTCTCAAGGACTAGAGAACTTGTCTTCAGGCCTAAATCCTTTAAACTGCTCACCTGGGAACTCTTCTGTTCCACCTCTTTTGGGGCCTCATCAGTGGACTTTGGGTGGTCACTTCTGGGGATACTGGGATTGCTTCCCTCACCATCCCCCTCAGAATCACACTCCTCTTCCTTGATGCTGTAGTTGTGATTGCTTTCCAAGTGACCGTTCAAGCTGGACAGATTGGAGAGCTCTGAAGCACTTGAAGATAAGGCTTTGGGCCTATGGCTGCCACTTTCTTCCCCTATAATTTTGCTAAGGAGCTGAAAGGGCTCGTGTATGACTTCTGAAAGGCGTCGCTTAGTGTCTTCGATTTTTGCCTCCATTTCGGGCACTTTAAAAAAGGAGCGTGTATCGGAGGGAGAAGTAAGTGGGGAAGAAGGTGCGGTTTTGGAATCTCCACCTGTGTTTCGTGGCTGGGTAAATTGCTTGAACAGGTGTAAATTCAGCTTGGAATCGGGTGGTTTATAGGACACAGTATCTGACTCTTGCTTGGAGGTGTCTGTGGACAGAGACTTGACTAATGTCTTCATCAAGTGCCTGTGCCTTGGGGGCGGTGGGGGTTCTTTTGGCTCCACCTCAGTGGAAAGGGATTTCACAAGGCTCATAAAGGGTTTTGCACTGGAAAGGGTGGAGGTTGAGGCACTGGATGAGAGGATAGGAGACTTGGAAGGAGAGGACAATGGGGAAGAAGAACTGGTTTTCTGCTCAGAAAGGGATGACACACTGGGAGAGCTAGCTAAGGGCCCGGATGAAGATGACCCTGGGGACAGAGCCAATGGCACTGTACTTAATACTTGCACTGTGGGCAGTGGGGCTTCCAACTGCTTTACAGTGTTCTCAGAGACAGGCAAAACAGCAGGCGACTCGGACAGTCCATCTGCCAGGATAGGCTGGGAGGCAGGGCCAGTGGGGTCATGGCCACCCCGAGGTTCAAAATAGAGGTCTTCCTTGGCTTCAAGCCCCGTTACAATGCTTTGGTCATCCAGCCCCTCCTCAAGATATTCCCTGAACTCCTCTTCCTCTTCCTCCTCTTCCTCCCCGGATGCCGAGAAGTGGATGGCGATAGTGTCTCGGGACACGGACCTCTGCACATGCACTCTGGGGGCTGATGGTTTTGGCATGTCAATGGCTTTTTCGGCATGGCGCCCATTCAGACTTGTCATTGCCAGCTTCACAAGGGCTTAGGCTCTGTAAAGAAATCAAGAAAACTGAAGTCAGAAAGTGGTTTCTCCACAGGAGACATTGTCATGTGTAGACAGGAGCACAGATGAAGTTCATTTCTAAACAATGATTATGCTTTTACTTGGCAGATGGCCACTGCTTTTCATTTGAGCAGGTTTAACGGTTTAATTTTCACCAGCTACATTCCAGTTAGGCATTCTCTTTTATGAGCAAACTACAAACCAGTGTTAAAAAAAAATGCCATACAATCTGTCTTACTTCACATCATCTGAGTAGTTGTTTCCTCCCTCTTAACTGGCTCATTTCTATCAGCGATTCCATATTTTAAGGCTTGAAATACCTGCACAATAGATGTTACCAGCATTACTTCAGAAGATCAGCAGGATAAAATGTAGCATCCTGGTGATTTTGAGAATCTTGGAACAAAAATGTCACCAGTGATTTTCTAGCTATAAAAAGCTAACCCATGGGAGTTATTGCTTCCACTGCAATTTTCACAGCAATCTTAACAATTAGTTGGCTCGTATCTCCACCAACATATCCTATCTTGCCAATGCAAGTAATTAGCAAAGTACCCGAGAGTTGAAAGGAAAATCTGTAAACTAATTACTATGACCTGTTGGCTTCTTTATTCTCCAAATGGCAGGTACCATAAGGCCAGAGTATTTAGGCAGCCATGAAGACATGGCTGTGTCCTGAGGCTTCGGGAACAAGCAAACATTTTAAACTGAATCTAGATTCCACAGATAACTCTGCTAAGGGCTATGGTGACAGACAAGGAGGCTATGCTTCCTACCCCTGTGGAGCTAAGTAGCTAGCTGTAGAGAAGAAAGATACCTTAAAAGCTGGGCAGAAAAACATAAGACACCAAGGCCACACTGACATCTAGCATATTACCTTTCTTCCTACTCACTTAAAGCCCATTTATTGGGCACCAGGCTTCCTAATAGACCCTACAAAGTTGAAATTAACACCACGATCTGGAAATAGATCCTGTCAAAAAAGCTAAAACACACTTGAGTGGACTTCAGGCCTTCTGAAGAGGGTGAGACTAGTGTGGGAGGAAGGACATTTGCTCAGCCTTTTAAACTGCTGTGTAGGTTGTGGTGGAATGGGCATGATGAGAAAGAAGGGTCAAACAGGCATGGAAGATGAGTGCAGGAAGATGAGCATGGTGTGTCCTGGCACCTGAGTCTATTCTCTCCCTCCAGGGTGGAAGGGGGTGTTGAGGAGCAGTGGGAAACCATCAGTACAAGAGAGGAATCATGGGAGAGTAGAAAAGAATAGTTTTGAGATCAGAAAATAGGGCTTTGGTACTTGCTCCCTTTACAGCTGACTCTGTGGGACCTTGAGAAAGCCAAGACCTCTCTGGGTCTCAGAATCTTCCTTTGTAAAATGGGGGATCACCAGTCCTCTCCATACCTAAAACCCTACATGTTTACATTTACAGGTGGTTGCTCACAATACAATGTAGGACACTTATAAAAGTAATATACCCTAGACCAGAGATTTTCAACCAGAATGCCTCATGAATTTTTAAAACATGCAATACCTGACTATTTAGTCAGGGACACTGACCTCTTTTCCCTTAGATTGTCAAATTAGAAAATTACAACAGCCAATACAACAACAGCCATTGGTGTGAATGTATCAAAATTATACCTATTTTTGGTCAGAAATTCTGGTGTGCCACGGAATTTTATTTTATTTTATCTTTATTTTTTTTGCCACAGTAATTAGTTTGTGTGCCATGAGATGAAAAATATAAAATGCTGCCACAGACAATCAACATCATTGTGTTTGCTTATTTCTTTCATTTGAAGAACGTCTAAATTTAAGTCTTATGCTAAATATTTATGTTCAAAAAGCTGGCAACAGATACTACTGACAAGAGAATGGGGGACAGAAAACAGTGATCCTGAATCACTATAAATAATCTAACAATGAGAAGAACTGCAGTTCAAAGCCCAAGCATCACAAGGACACATTGAATTGCATATTCTCAATATCAATGCTTCAGAGAAATTACTTTAATAAAAACTTTCCAAAAGAGTTTTGCCTACACTCATTCATGACCCTCAGGCTCTCCTATCCATACTGGTCCAGGAAAAGGGACTGATCTCTACCCACCAAACAAAGCAATTTAAATTCAGGAGCTGATGGCTGCAAGAAAAAGAGACTCCAATAGCTTTACAGTATTCTGTAAAGCTAGAAAGACAAGGCAATCCTTCCCTGTAATTCTTAAGCCAATGGATGTGTGGGCTTAGTAAGAAGAAAAATACCAAGTGCAACACATATTTTTCATTTTACTGTCACCTAGTTTTATAAGGGTAATTTAAAAAGAAAATTATAGAGGTAATTTAAAAAGAAAGGTTGGTACTTGATAATTCTCAGTAGGTTGAAAAATAAGGGTTATTTAAATTGCCTTAATAACATACAGGGTGATCTGTAAGGCTCTGTAGTTTTATATATATATATATATATATATATATATATATATATATATATATATATATTATTGACTTTTTTACAGAGAGAAAGGGAGAGGGATAGAGAGTTAGAAACATCGATGAGAGAGAAACTTTTGATCAGCTGCCTCCTGCACAGACCCCACTGGGGATGTGCCCACAATCAATGTACATGCCCTAGGCCGGAATCGAACCTGGGACCTTTCAGTCCGCAGGCCAACGCTCTATCCACTGAGCCAAACCGGTTTTGGCAAGGCTCTGTAGTTCTGAGGCTGCTTCATAGGTAGTGGTGATTGCAAGTGAAGGTGACTGTGGACATGGGTACAAAATCAGAGAGCACAATTTAGGGGTTGAATAGTATGAGTTGGTCCTATGGGGGGAAAATGCTATTTAGAGCCAAATTCTCTCTGCAACTTAGCCTCAGTCAGATATGTTTCCGGAAGCAGGATCTCAAATTGCTATGCTGATGGGTCTTTCCTAAGGTCTTGACTGTAATTCCCCATTAAAATTACTATGCCTTCTAAAGACATTCTTTGCCAAAACCGGTTTGGCTCAGTGGTAGAGCGTCGGTCTGCGGACTGAAGGGTCCCGGGTTCGTACAAGGGCATGTACATTGGTTGCGGGCACATCCCCAGTAGGGGTGTGCAAGAGGCAGCTGGTCGATGTTTCTCTCTCATCGACGTTTCTAGCTCTCTATCTCTCTCCCTTCCTCTCTGTAAAAAATCAATAAAATATATATATATATATATATATATATATATATATTTTTTTTTTTTTTAAAAGGATCCTATAAAATATATAATTTAAAAAAAAAAGACATTCTTTGCTCTCGCTAAGACTAAGAAAACCTCCAACAAGGGTTTCTCTCCCCAGCACTAACGCAGGTTCTATCCAGTCTAAACACAGGAACAATCAATGCCTACCATTTAAACTGAACTAATAAAAAACAAAGGCCTCAAACATGAAGCTAACAGACAGTTGCCCTCCCTATCATGAATTCCAACAAAGCTACCAATCTCAGGAGAGTTGGAGTTAGAATACCAAATATCTATGAAATTTATTTTATTTCTAGTCACTTAAAAAGATTATTATAATTAATTAGGCAATGAAAAAACTAATCAACAATAAATCACACTGTACAATGAAAAACAAAGAGCTATTTCAAGACTCAATATTGGTATTTATTGACTCAGATATAATATCTTCTTTATTAGGCAATGTTTTAGTGTGTTGTTTTTTTTTTAGGGAGGGCTAATTTTCCATTAATAACTGTCCTTCCTACCTCCAGCTGTATTTGAAACAATTCAATCCTGGGGTCCTACAGAGCCATAAAAAGAGAAAGCAGTTCCCTCCAGGCTGCTCACTTATCACTAACTCAACTACTCGATCCTTCTACTTTAGAACAAATTCTAATGTATCCATTATTTTCATCATTATTAATTTCTAATTAATATACTAAATTAGAGGAAGTGCTGGAGGAAGAAAAAAAGGAGAGGGGGAAGGAAGCAATTTTAATTGAAAATTAAACTACAGGCATACCTTGTTTTATTGAGCTTTGCTTTATTGCCCATCACAAGTGTCACATTTTTTATTTTTATTTTTTATTTTTTTTACAAAATGAAGACAAGACCCTCCATCAACAAAAAGACTTGCTTTATTGCAATACTCCATTTATTATAATGGTCTGGAACCAAACTTGAAATATCTCCAAAGTATTACTGCCTGTAGTCTCCAGAGACAGAAAATGCAGTAATATATCCTATATAATAAAAGCCTAATATGCAGATTGACTGAACGACAGAAGGACTGGTCTCTATGATGCACACTGACAACCAGGGAACAGATGCATAACACAGGAGCTGCCCCCAGCCCACAGGCCCCAGGCCAGCCAAGGTGGGTCCTGGTGCCAGTCCTCTCCCCCCATCACCCCTAAGGTGATCGGAGATGGGGGGGGCAGGGTCAATGAGTGGGCAGCACCACGCCCACCATGGTGGGTACCAGTGGCCCCCCTCATAGCCCCACCGGTCGCCCCACAGATTGGCCTTATTGCAGCCAGGCCTAGGGACCCTACCCATGCATGAATTTTGTGCATCGGGCCTCTAGTAGCATCGTAAGAGGCAAGCCAGGTTTGGAATATGCCTCATTTCTCAGAATTATCACAAATCTTTCAAAGCCATTATTAAAGTTCTTCGTCTTTGTAAAATTCTGCCTGTTAAATATTTGCAGCCTCTGCACAAACTTGCACTAGGACATATGATATATGAGTACCATCACTAGCACAGCTTGTGAGAGTCAATAGTTTTCATTTAAAAACTTCTTTTGGCAGAGAAAAAGAGGCAAGCCACATTGTATTGCAGAGGATGTCTTAACACCGTGTGTGTGTGTGTGTGTGTGTGTGTGTGTGTGTGTGCGCGCGCGCGCGCGTTTTAATCCTCACCAGAGGACACGTTATAGATTTTTTAAAAATATATTTTATTGATTTTTTTTTTTTTTTTTTTTTTTTTTTTACAGAG